GATGGAGAATTAGTTTGATGAACAGACAAAAGTAGATGGGTAATAAGATGGGTAATAAGAAACTCTTCCAAGCTAAAGGAGCATGTTCTAACCAGATGCAAGGAAGCTAAGAACCAAGAAAAAGGGTTAGACAAATTGCTAACTAGAATAACCAGTAGAGAGAACATAAATAGCCTGATGGAGATGAAAAACACAGCACCAGAACTTCGTGAAGCATACACAAGTATCAATAGCCGAAATGATCAAGCAGAAGAAAGGATATCAGAGATTGAAGATCAACTTAATGAAATAAAGCATAAAGGCAAGATTAGAGAAATGAAATGGAATGAACAAAGCCTCCAAGAAATATAGGACTATGTGAAAACACCAAGCCTATGTTTGATTGGTGTACCTGAAAGTGACAGGGAAGATGGAACTAAGCTGGAAAACACTCTTCAGGATATCATCCAGGAAACTTCTCCAACCTAGCAATACAGGCCAACATTCAAATTCAGGAAATACAGAGAACACCAAAAAGACACTTCTCAAGAACAGCAACCTCAAGACACATAATCATCAGATACACCAAGGTTAAAATGAAGGAAAAAATGTTAAGGGAAGCCAGAGAGAAAGGTCAGGTTACCCATAAAAGAAAGCCCATCAGACCAACAGTGCATCTCTCTGCAGAAACCCTACAAGCCAGAAGACAGTGAGAGTCAATATTCACATTCTTAAAGAAAAGAATTTTCAAACCAGAATTTCATATCCAGCCAAACTAAGTTTCATAAGCAAAGGAGAACTAAAATCATTTATAGACAAGCAAACGCAGAGATATTTTGTCACCCCCAGGCCTGCCTTACAAGAGTTACTGAAGGAAGCATTAAACATAGAAAAAAAAGGTACCAGCCACTGTGAAAACATACCGAATTGTAAAGATCCACACTATAAAGAAACTGCATCAACTAATGGTCATCACACCAGCTAGCATCATAATGACAGGATCAAATTCACACCCAACAATATTAACCCTAAACATAAACAGGCTAAATGCCCCAATGAAAAGCACAGACAGGCCAATTGGATAAAGAGTGAAGACCCATTGATGTGATGTATTCAAGAGACACATCTCATGTGCAAAGACATATAGGTTCAAATTAAAGGGATAGAGGAATATTTACCAAGCAAATGGAAAGCAAAAACAAAAGCAGGGGTGGCAACCCAAGTCTCTGATAAAACAGACTTTAAAACAAGAAAGATCAAAAGAGACAAAGAAGGGCATTACATAATGTTAAAGGGATCAATGTAACAAGAAGAGCTAACTATACTAAATATATATGCACCCAATACAGGAGCACCCAGATTCACAAAGCAAGTTCTCAGAGACCTACAAAGACACGTAGACTCCTAACAATAACAGTGGGGGACTTTAACACCCACTGTCAATATTAGACAGATCAAAGAGACAGAAAATTAACAAGGATATCCAGGACTTTAACTCAGCTCTCGACCAAGTGGACCTAATAGACATCTACAGAACTCTCCACGCCAAATCAACAGAATATACATTCTTCTCAGAACCACATCATACTTATTCTAAAACTGACCACATAATTGGAAGTAAAACACTCCTCAGCAAATGCAAAAGAATAGAAATCCTAACGCTCTCTCAGACCACAGTGCAATCAAATTAGAACTCAGGATTAAGAAACTTACTCAAAACCATACAATTACATGGAAACTGAAAAACCTGCTCCTAAGTGACTACTGAGTAAATAACGAACGAAATGAAGGCAGAAATAAATAAGTTCCTTGAAAGCAATGAGAACAAAGATACAATGTACCAGAATCTCTGGGACACAGCCAAAGCAGTGTTTAGAGGGAAATATACGGTACTAAATGCCCATAAGAGAAAGCAAGACAGATCTAAAATCAACACCCTAACATTGCAATTAAAAGAACCAGAGAAGCAAGAGCAAACAAATTCAAAAGCTAACAGAAGACAAGAAGTAACTAAGATCAGAGCAGAATTGAAGGATATAGAGACACGAAAGACCCTTCAAGAAAACCAGTGAACCCAGGAGCTGTTTTTCTGAAAAGATCAAGGAAATAGACCATTACCCAGACTAAGAAGAAAAGAGAGAAGAATCAAATAGAAACAATAAAAAAATGATAAAGGGGATATCACCACTGATCCCACAAACCACCATCAGAGAACACTATAAACACGTCTATGCAAATCAACTAAAAAATCTAGAAGAAATGGATAAACTATGGACACATCTACCCTCCCCTAAGACTAAATCACAAAGAAGTTGGATCAGTGAATAGACCAATAATAAGTTCTGAAATTGAGGCACTAATTAATGGTCTACCAACACCACCAACAACAAAAAAGCCCAGGATCAGATGGCTTCACAGCTGAATTCTACCAGAGGCACAAAGAGGAGCTGGTACCATTCCTTCTGAAACTATTCCAAACAATAGAAAAAGAGAGACTCCTCCCTAACTCATTGTGTGAGGCCAGCAACATCCTAATACCAAAACCTGGCAGAGACAAAACAAAAAAATAAAATTTCAGGCCAATATTCCTGATGAACTTTGATGCAAAAATCCTCAATAAAATACTGGCAAACCTGATTCAACAGCACACCAAAAAGCTTATTCACCACAATCAACTTGGCTTCATCCCTGGTATGCAACACTGGTACATATGCAAATCAATAAATGTAATCCGTCACATAAACAGAACCAATGACAAAAACCACATGATTCTCTCAATAGATGCAGAAAAGGCCTTTGACAAAATTAAATAGCCCTTCATGCTAAAAACTCTCAATAAATTAGGTATAGATGGAACATATCTCAAAATAATAAGAGCTATTTATGACAAACCTACAGCCAATAACATATTGAATGGGCAAAAGCTGGAAGCATTCACTTTGAAAACCAGCACAACACAAGAATGCCCTCTCTCACCACTGCTATTCAACATACTATTGGAAGTTCTGGCCAGGGCAATCAGGCAAGAGAAAGAAATAAATCATATTCAAATAGGACTAGTAGAAGTCAAATTGTCTCTGTTTGCAGATGACACAATTGTATATTTAGAAAACCCCATCATCTCAGCCCAAAACTCCTTAAGTAGATAAGCAACTTCAGCAAAGTCTCAGGATATAAAATCGATGTACAAAAATCACAAGCATTCCTATACACCAAGAACAGACAAACAGAGAGCCAAATCATGAGTGAACTCCCATTAACAATTTCTACAAAGAGAATAAAATACCTAGAAATACAACTTACATGGGATGTGAAGGACCTCTCGGAGGAGAACTACAAACAACTGCTCAAGGAAATAAGAGAGGGCACAAACAAATGGAAAAACATTCCATGCTGCTGCATAGAAAGAATCAATATAGTGAAAATGGCCACATTGCCCAAAGTAATTTATAGATTCAATGCTATCTTCATCAAGCTACCACTGACTTTCTTCACAGAATTGGAAAAAACTACTTTAAATTTCATATGGAAATAAAAAAGAGCCCATATGGCCAAGACAATCCTAAGCAAAAAGAACAAGGCTGGAGACATCACGCTACCTGACTTCAAACTATACTACAAGGCTACAGTAACCAAAACAGCATGGTACTGGTACCAAAACAGACATATAGACCAATGGAACAGAAATAACACCACATATCTACAACTATCTGATCTTTGACAAACCTGAAAAAAACAAGCAATGGGGAAAAGGATTCCCTATTTAATAAATGGTGTTGGGAAAACTGACTAGCCATATGCAGAAAACTGAATCTGGACCCCTTCCTTACACCTTAAACAAAAATTAACTCAAGATGGATTAATGACTTAAACATAAGACATAAAACCATAAAATTCCAGAAGAAAACCTGGGCAATACCATTCAGGACATAGGCATGGGTAAAGATTTCATGACTAAAACACCAAAAGCAATGGTAACAAAAGCCAAAATTGACAAATGGGATATAATTAAACTAAAGATCTTCTGCACAGCAAAAGAAGCTATCATCAGAGTGAACAGGCAACCTACAGAATGGGAGAAAATTTATTCAATCTGTCCATCTGACAAAGTGCTAATATCCCAAATCTACAACAACCTTAAACAAATTAACAAGAAAAAAAACAACAACTCCATCAAAAACTGAGCAAAATATGACCAGACACTTCTCAAAAGAAGACATTTATGCAGCCAACAAATGTATGAAAAAAGATCATCACTGGTCATTAGAGAAATGCAAATCAAAACCACAATGAGATACCATCTCACGCCAGTTAGAATGAGGATCATTAAAAAGTCAGGAAACAACAGATGCTGGAGAGGATGTGGAGAAATAGGAATGCTTTTACACTGTTTGTGGGAGTGTAAATTAGTTCAACTATTGTGAAAGACAGTGTGGTGATTCCTCAAGGATCTAGAACTAGAAATACCATTTGACCCAGTCATCCTATTATTGGGTATATACCCAAAGGATTATAATTCATTCTACTATAAAGACACATGCACATGTATATTTACTGCGGCACTATTCACAATAGCAAAGACTTGGAACCAACCCAAATGCCCATCAATGATAGACTGGATAAATAAAATGTGGCACATATACACCATGGAATACTAAGCAGCCATAAAAAAGGATGAGTTCCTGTCCTTTGCAGGGACATGGATGAAACTGGAAACCATCATTCTCAGCAAATTAACACAGGAACAGAAAACCAAACATCATATGTTCTCACTCATAATTGGGAGTTGAACAATGAGAACACACGGACACAAGGAGGGGAACATCACACACTGGGGCCTGTTAGTGGGTGGGGTACTAGGGGAGGGATAGCATTAGGAGAAATACTTAATGTAGACTACTGGTTAATGGGTGCGGCAAGCTACCATGGCCTGTGTATACTATGTAACAGATCTGTACGTTCTGCACATGTATCCCAGAACTTATAGTACAAAACAAACAACAACAACAAAAAACACATACATTTCTCATGTCAGAGACTTTGTGGTCAGGAATCCTGGTGTGGCTTCAGAGAATCTGCCTCCAAGTTCTCTCACATGGTTGCCGGTTGACCTCATGTTCTTACTGTCTGTTGGAGAGACATTGGTTCCTTGTCACATATGAATCTCTCCTAGGGCAGCTAACAACATGCTAGTTGGTTTTTCTCAGAGCCAGTGAGAAAGAAAGATAAGACAGAAGCCACAGTTTTTTGGTAACCTAATCTCAAAAAGTGTATCCCATTATTTTTACTGCATTCTGTTGGTTAGAAATGACTCAGTAAGTGCAGCCCACATTCAAGGCAGGGGGTGTATGATACAAGAATGTGGACATCAGGAGGCAGAGATCACCAGGGATTATCTTAAAAACTGCCTGTCACAGTGAGGTTATGCCATCTTGTCATGAAGGGTACACACACACACACACAAACACACAGAGTCTACTCCCAGACTCACAGCTTTGAGTGTTGAGAAAGATCAGGGGCATCATTGGTAAGGAACTATAAAATGTCAGAGTGGGAAAGGATCTTAGACCTTATCTGAGCCAGCCGCCTTACCTTACATGTGAGAAAGTCTAAACCCACAGAAGTTAAGTGGTCTGCCCGAGATTGTGCATTAACTTGTAGTCAGTCTTTGGGCTAAACCCAGGCTGACTCCTGATCCACTTCTCTTTTCCTTTGAGTTAACTTTTCACCTCATCCTGAGCAAGGGCATTACTTTTCACAAAAGATATAGATAAGTATTTGTTCTCTCTTCCAAAATTACTGAATCATGTCGTTATTGAATTTAAGGGCCAGTGTTTCTAAAAAGTGGCAAATTGATAAGCAGATATCCTGGTTATTTTCCCTCTGATCATTGTTCTTTTACTGTCTTTTTTCTTAACTGGATGAGAAAGTAGAACAAGAATTTGCTTTACAGATAAACCAAGGAAATTCCATGCCCAGCAATGTAAGTGAAGCACCATTTCCCTACAAAAGCACACCACTTATAAAACTAAAATACAGAAAAATTGAGAATGTCTAGAATCCACAGCACCATTTTTAAAGTACTCATTTGCACAGTAGCAATTTATGAAAGTTTTGCAATTTGTGAAGCAAATGTTTTTCATCAGTGTGGATGCCTTGATTCATGAAACATTCCAATTTGATTTCACCATCAATTATCTTTTAACCCAAGTGCATGTTTAACTGAGGGGTCAATTGATCAAATAATAGCTGACTGGCCAAAAAAGTCATTTTTCATTCATGTGGATGCCTTGATTCATGAAACATTCCAATTTGATTTCACCATCA